GAAGGATCAGCACCTCAATTTATTGTTTCTTAGTTTTATGTTATTATTCAGCACTTGATTTATTATTTAACCTTTCAGTTGCTTTTCTCTCCAATTACATCAAAGTTTCTTTGAGGATACGAATATGTGCTTCCTTTAGGATACCCAATTTCGCAATGAATAGTTACTAAGGGCTATGATTAGTTCAAAAACCCAGAAACAAATTAGCTATGGAATGACACATTGTGATGATTAAAATGTTTCAGATGGTGATTCTCAAACTTTAATGTGTATAAGAAAAGTAAAGGGAACCTGTGAAAATATAGATTCCTACATCTCATTCTCAAAGATTCTTATCTTTTAAACAACTATTTCTCCTCCTTCCCACATTATTAATTTATTTTTTATTCCACATTTAGGAAAGATGTGACTCTCCAGGACATAATGATGTTTCTTGTAGAGAAAGGACTTCACATAAAGTGAGTCATTCTGCCCTTCCTCCTGGCTAAGCGACTTGGGTTAAACACCAACTAAATGTACACTGAGAGCAAATTCCTGATCTGGGGGCTGGCGTTAAGGAGGTCTACAGAATACACTAATGTTTTGCTTTACAGTACTTAGTTCTTCTTGCAAGGTGGAGAGAGGCCAGGAATAGACAAGTACACTTTGATTATTTCAGATATCATTAAGAGTTATAAAGAAAGAAAACATGTGTGATGCTAGAGAAGACTGTTGAGAAAGAGGATGTTTAAAGTGGGGTCCATAAAATGAGGACATGTGATCTGAGGACTGAATCAATAGAGGAACTAACCATGCAAAAGATCTTGTACAGAGCATTCCAGGGAGAGGGAAAATTAAGTGCAAAGATTCTGAGGCAGAATGATTGTTCAGGTATCAGCAGGAGGCTAGTGTGCCTGCAACATATGAGGGAACCAGGAGGATTCATCAACAAGGTGTGGTCTGAGCTTTGGTATGGAATAGTTTAGGATTATTTCTGTGGAGAGCTGTTAAAATATTCTTGACTCTCATAAAATTAAGGAGTATATGTATTTTGATAAACATTACATGAATAATTCATTCAAGGCACCTACATTATTGTAACTCCTTACCCATGAGAAATAGTTCATTTCACAATTCCTTTTGGTTGCTATTTTGTGATAACAAGGTTTTACCATCATTGGCAGATTACTTTTTATAAGAGTTAAGCACTGAAAATAAACTCAACTTTGAATTTCTTTAGATGCAAATTATTTATCATTCTGTGGATGACAGATATAAAAGGGGGTATAATAAATAGGGTAAACTTGTGAGAATCAATATACTTTGCTAAAGGAAGAAAATTTCTGGCATAATTTCAAAGTTACATATTTGTTTTGTTTTTTGAATATTGAATTACTTTTCAGCTCTGGCATTGGCTTATCACCTAACTGGATATTTATCAATTAATAGTGATAGTACTATTACCTCTAAGCAATTTTGTGTTTTCTGAATAATTGAAATGCTTGAGGACAATAAGACCCAGACAAGCATGCTATGGAAAATGTAGAAGCCAATCCTGGGAGTCTACTACTGACAGGAAGAGATAGCAACTCAGCTTCCGACCCAGCTCACTGCCTTTTACTCGCAATCTCAAAAAAGGGCTACCCAGGTGACAGTGGCTCCTTCATGATAAGGGCTTCTGTCCACTGGAAATGGGAACTGGTAGTTCATTTCAGACTCCACCAGATGACAAGTGACTTTATCTATCCAGGCCAGATCCAGACTGGAATCTGAAAAGACCTGGAACTTTCCTATGAGGGTTGTTTGATGTGAGTGTGCGTGTGTTAGTTTGATTATATATGTTTTATGCTGTGGTTCTAAATGCAAGAGATTTCAAAAGCCATGAAAATTGCCTTCTTTGCTTGAGTCTGGCTAATCTGGTTTGAAACCAATGACTTTCTAACACAAGGAAGAGGAGAGTAATAGCAGTATATAGTCATAGTGGCTGCAGTTGATAGATATGTAACAAGATGAAAGTGAGTTGGTTAAAATTTTGTGGGAGAGGGGATGGGAATGAAGAGACACTATCTAACAGAAAATGCAATGCCTTCATTATCACAGGAAACTCCAAATGGCCTTCACTTAGTCATAGTGGAATTACAATTTCAGCTTTCATGGGTTGTGAAAGCGGAAGTAAGGAACATGACCATGGAAAAGTGATATTTTAAGCTTCAACACATATTGCTCATCACTGATTTGACTTGCAACACATTTTTCAACAAAAGCACATAGTGATTTAATCTTAACAGTAATTCCGTCTGCAATGGGACAAGACAAGACTATCATAACGAAAGGCTGTAATTTGTGAAATTCAGGTGCTGGGGATTAGGACCACCTGTTGAATTTAATCTTGAAGCTATAATGTTAACACCATCATGTAACTGAACATAAACAGTACATATTTATCAGATTATGGGGCCTCCAGCCATGGTGATGAGAACATTTTCCTATATGGTATCTGTAACTCTCTCCAGACTCTCTAAATCAGCAGCAAATAAAAAGTCTGTTGGAATTCTGATTCAATATGCAGCAGCATATGGCTGGGTGGTCAGTACATTCAGCACATCCTATAATTTTTCTAAAGCCTGATGTGAGAGTAAAAAAAAAGAAAAAAAAAGCAATCAGTATTCTCTGGCAACATAATAAGAATGTGAAAGCTTTCATTTCTTACCCTACTCTGTGCTAATTGGAAAAAAAAAAAACTAGCAATATTTTAACAAATGACTTCTACCTCTGTCTAAGCCAGACAGCAGGGAGAGCACAAATAAACTAGTTAAACAGCAACTTCTGGGAAAGACCTAACATTTTACACATGTACCCACACACAACCTTAAGAAATACAGCTCTGCCCACTTCCCAGCTAAATTATCTCTGGAAAGCGTCACTGATTGCATTTTGAAAAGTTTACATTTAGTTCAATGGGGCAATGGGGAGAGAGTCCAGCGAGGGGGCATAGATTTTTAGATTTGCATTTGTTCCTTTGCTTGAGGTGGGGGTAAATGCCATGGAACCCTTTGGGTATGTAATTTTGTGAGATGTTGGTTTTCTATGAAAGAATTTCATTAGTATTATTATCTGCAAAGAGCTTTTTGATCACATTTATAATTCTCTGCCAAGTATTCCAAGGACTTTACCATGTATTTATCATTCACGTAACACTTCACAGTTAATGAAACCCTTTTACTACAAATTACCTCGATTTCTCCTATAATTTCACAATTCCTTCCCCCAAAGAGCTGTTTTTCATTTAATGAAATAAGACTCTGAGACATGGGAATGGGATATAGCACACGTGTGCAACTAAACACTATTTTGAAAGAGAATATGAGGGCATAATATTTTGCCTCAAGCTATCAATATTCTTAGCAGGTGTCTATCCAGCAAGACAGCGCAGGAAGGAAAATATTAGGAGTATCTTCCCAAAGGCAAATCAAAGCTTCCAGCAAATTTCCCTTTTGACACCTCTATTAATCAAAGTTTCACGAGTGCTAGATAGCAATTTCCACTAAACAACTGCCATGAAAACCTTCTGGGTTCAATACATTCATCATATACCAGTTACACATAAGCACCACATCCCTCCACAGTCAGAACTAACAGCCTAAACTTTCCTCCAACTCTAGCCCCTCTGGGTTGCTTGCACAAGCAGCACATAATCAATCAACAACTTAGAGAGAAAACTGAAGGCCTTCTCTTCTTTAGATTTACAAGTATATAGCCACCAAATGAAATCTCGCCCCTTTTCTTGCTTCCCTAAATTATTCCCAGTGCAAATTTCACCTTTTCAAACCAGTTTTCCTGGATCCTGGGCAATGTGCTTTCTCATCTCTGCATCTCAAAAGTACTTTTTATATTAACATTTCATCTAGCTATCATTTATCCATTCACATTTTTATGGGTTGTTTATTTCATAAACAGTCAAGGCAGGGATCTGCCTCATCTTCTGTACTTGCCAAAATTTTAAGCACCATTCATTGCACAAGTGAGTAGGAATATTTTGATTGTCACTTCAAAAAAAGTTTGACTTTTTTCATGCATGGGGAGAGCAGTTTTTCCACACAAAAGAAGCACTTGTTAAATGCTACTTCGGTTCACAACCATAAATATCAAGTAATATAAAAAAGAGGAAGTGTTGGGTGGTATCACAAAATCCTCTAGCTCTATAGAACAGACACAGAATAGAATTGTGTTTTCATAAAAATATATTAGCAGTTTCAAATAATGGGAAATACATTAAAATATCTTTTTGGAACCATGAAACTTGACTAGGATTCTCTCAAGGGCTTCATACCCCGAATCCAGAGATTTATTATTCCAGGGGAAGGAGGCTCAATTTTAAAAAAGTCAACTTAATTATTAGTCAAGCCATGCAGCAGCTTCCCAAAAGATAAACGAAAACGGGCTCTAAGGATGAGTTTCAAGCAAATGGAAGCTGAATTTGCGCCTCCAACCCTCCAACGCCTGCTGGGCACGGGTCCCCCAGAGCTGCGCTAGATCAGCCCCAAGCAACCCAAGGAGAGAACCTTGGAGGCTGAGCAACTGCCACCCACAAGCAGCTGCTCTCACCTTTGGTTCCGGGTCGGAGAAACGTATAGGTTGCCACCAGCCCGCTCCAGGGTCTCCTCCCACCGCCTCCCGAAGAGGTTGCCAAAGCCCTTGTTTCAGAAACCCAGCACCCACCGATGGCCGCAACTGTGGGGAGCCAGGGGGGTGCCCTAGTTCCAGGACCAGATCCTGTTAAGAAATTAGGCCTTGGGATCCACTCCGCTCATCCTTATTTCCTGAAAAACTTTGCTTCCTTCTCTAAAATGAAATCCACACGAAGTAGGAGCTCTCTCAACCCACCCCAGAGGGTTCCCTCCCCGCGCCCGGCCTCCGAAAGGCACCTACTCACGGCGCCTCCCAGCCTTGGGAATGGGACAGGCTCAGGTGGACAGGATCCCCAAGGTGGGTGGCAGACTGACTGGCGAAAGAGCTGTCACCTTGTGATCCGCCACGCCAAGGTATCCGTCCAGTGGCTTCGGTCCCGCGGGGGCCCCGGGGCGCGGCTGGGGGCTGCTCTGCACGGACGGCTGCGCGCTGCCAGTGGCTGCTTCCTGCTGCTGTTGCTGCTGCTGCTGCTGCTGTGGCCGCTCCTTCTGGCCGCCGAGGCTGCTGTACACGAGCAACAAGCTGGTGCACATGGTAGTGAGCGCTAAACACACTGCCAGACCATGGCGCTGCGGGCGGGTGGAAGAGAGCATAGGAGAGTCGCTGAGAGCCGACCCCGGAGGAGCGCGCGCTGCGGGAACGCCCGCCCGACGGTCGGGCGAGCTGGGGAGGTCCCGAGTCTGGAGGCGGCTGGGGTCCTGGCCCTGGCCGCGTGCAGCCGGGGTGGAGGAGGCGCTGTCCCCGCGCGTACGGCAGGGGATGCTCCCGGCGCGTGGCTGCTCTCGGCCGCCGCCTCCCATATCTCTCGGCAGAGGGCAGGTGGTGCGCGGCGACCGGCAACCTCGGGAAGAGCGCGCCTGGGGCGAGAGCAGGGGTGGGCTCGCACTTTGGGGAGAGGTTACTTTGCCCCAGCTCGGCTGCTGTAATTTCTCGCTCTTGCACCCTCTACTGTTTGGAGCCGCGGGGCTCTACCTGGGCGGCCGCTGCAAGTTTGAAATACAGCAGGGTAACCAAGAAAGTCTTTAAAGGTCCTTCCTCCCCTCCCCGCCCCTTAGTTTTTGTCAGACTGTTGCTTTTGGCCATCCTCTTCCCACCTCAGCAACGCGCCCATCCCTCCACTGCTTCTCCTGCTCTCCGCTGGCCTCTCGGACTTCTTTCTGGAGGTCCAGGAGACTGAGCAACCCGAGTTCCCATCCCGGCTCGGGGATTCCGAGCTAGGCAGAGCCGGGGAAATCAGGAGGGAATGCGGAGCAGGTGGAAAGTTAGCCCTTTGTAACAAGCAACCTCACGGCGCGGGGTTAGGCGCCCCTGAAGCTCCCCCGTGCGCCCCGAGGACGCTGTGCCCAGGAGTCCCCGCCTCTGCCCAAGGAGTTGCAACAAATGACTCACCATCAGGGTCTTCATTTTGGGCACCTCTTTTGTGCGGAATCCTCAGGCACGCGTGTCCGGGGCCACTTTTCCTTGGAGGTTTTCCATGGTGGGTGAAGGGGAAGGGGCGCCTGTGATCTTCGCTCAGCCGGCCAGCCGCGGCTGAGTGGGCAGAGAGCCGCGGGACCCAGGAAGCGCCGCTGTAGCGGAGATTAGAGACAGAATTAAAACTGAACCGGACCCTCGTAGTCTCTCAGTGATCTACACAACTGCCGCCTGCCGCCGCCTGCTGGGTCCTAAAGACCTCTGCATCTCCCCCTCTCAGCCCCCAAATAATAATCCTTTCAGCAGAGTGGCGTATCTGGGGCGAGAGTTAACCGTGGCTGTATAACCACCTCTTGGTCCGAGGGCTTATTTATGTCTCATGAAATCATCAACTGGAAAGGAAGGGGAACCAACTGGATTCTGGTCATGATAGCCATTTGAAAATTCACAAACTAAATTTTTGTTTTGTGATTTTGGTAAAAACAGATCAGCCGGCCAAATGTCAGTAGCCTTATTAGTGGGTTTTACTTTTATGTTCGTAGTGGAGGGAACTCTGTCACAAAATTATTTTTCTAAAACAATTTTTCAGTTGTAAGTTTTCTAATATTCTCTGCTCTGCTACTTTGACCTATTCAATCTAGTTATTCTTACACCATTTTTATAGCATAGTATTTCTTCTCAATTATCTCATTCATTACTTGCTTTACATACATTATATTTCTATCAGATCTTTGAGGTTCCTAGTGTCCAGCTAAGGTGACTTTAAAGTGTTAAAAACAACCAGCACATCATATCCATGTGATTAACTGGATCTGTATATTCTCCCTAATTTTAATGCAAGATTCTGGCTACTAAAGATAAAACTGCTTACTGGTTATTTTATAAAAACCCTAATGCCATTGGAGCTCTTCTGATGTTGGTCTACTACACTGATGGCACATAAGTTCACATTCAAGAGCTTCAATTCAAATAAAATAAAAAACTTTTTTTTTTTCGGCATTGAGAATTTCACATCAATAACCTGTTTTTAAAGATATTCTCCCCTTCCCCTGCATTAAATCACAAATGACATTTGTTAAATGTCTAATTTAGTTAAAAACATATTTCTTATAAAATTGCTCAGTGAGAATAGTTGTCTTAATATATTACTTAACACCTCACCTGTAGCAGTGTAATGTTAAAGATTGCATTAAGATGGAAATGATCAGCAGGCCAAGTGAACCATAGGCACAATAAGAGCTTTCTCAAGGCCAAAAGAGGCATTACAATCCTTTTTTAATCTTCACTAATCCAATGCTGGACTGATGCTATAACAGGAACTATTTTTAACTTATGTGATATCTTTCCAGTCTTAGTATTAAGAAAGTTAAAATTATTGGTGCAACAATGACTATCAATGCAATGTGTTTGAGGGAAGGCAAGACGTAACAGGGGATTTAGCCTCTCAAGGAAAAACAAAAAAATTCAAACACTGTCCAGCATTGCCAGGCTCGAAGCTATTTATTCAATTTGTGCTTTAGGCATGAATAGTACCAGTTGTTAGGGCAGGAAAAGCAGCGGCCAGAAGAGAATCTTATCTGGTCTTGGCAATTCTTTATTGTATGGTTGCACTTGACACTCAAATTAGTGAAACAAAGGACCAACTTGATGAATCATTACAAGCAGATTATCAGTGTTTCTCCAGGACTCCTTTTAGATGCTGCTAGACCCAGTGCCTGCATTTTTCAGGATCCTTCCTCTTCCATCTAGTAAGTTGCCCAGTGACCAATAAAACATTCTTAATATATTTTGACATGCCAAACAGAGCCATCATATTTATGATTTAAGCTCATGGCAGCAAGGTGGACATCTGTTACACGATATGTCTGACCAAATTCATTAAGCTTATGCTCCCAACCACCCCACCCCCCCGCTGAGATAGTAGTTAGCTAGTTGCTAAATCTACTTCTGAAATAGCCAGGATAAATTTTAAAATGTGATTCTGGCTTTGATTTGAATGATTTCAAGGTCTGTAGCTTTCAAATATTCCATTAGATTGACTTGAACCAGTTTTAGACACTCTGATCTGCCTGAGAGCCAGACTGCCAAGGAGGCATGGGGTAAGGGCAGAGAAAATAAGTAACAGGTTAGAACACTTGCACCTTCCATTCTGTGATCACTTAATGGTCACAGTTTTGTATTAGAAAATGCAGAGATAAATACGACACAGACCCTCTCTTTTAAGAGCCCACAACCTTGTGTGTGTGTGTGTCTGTGTATATATGGGAAATATGTGAGACTAGTTCATAAATAGGCTATAAAAGACAAAGTGCTAGAGAGATTTGATGTTTATATATATATATATACATATTATATATGTATACATATTATATATGTATATAATACATATTATATATGTATATATATGTGTGTGTATATATATGTATATATACATATATACACACACACACACACACATATAAATCTCAAAAGCCTACTCTGTAACAGGGTAATCCTATGGGAAAAGAGAGGGGCGAGGTTTCAGGTTCCCTGCCCCACTCAAAGAAGTGTGGAGCTGGGAAGGGAGGAGAAGCTAGAAAAGAAGGAGAGATGAAGAAGGAGACCTGGTGGGTTCGTGGAGTAGAGGGAAACATGAAGAAGCTGTGTTTGCTTCTCCGTCTTAGACTTGTACCAGGGATTTGGGGACCTGGAAGGAAACACTTAAAACAGACGTCAGTAAGAGTCCGTTAGGAAGGGTGGCAATGGCAGCCTTTACCTTGATTTTGATTTTTCTCTTTTCCTTCCAGACTTGTCTGACCCCTCTGCACCTTTCCTGTGGGAGCCATCTGAAGGTGGCTTAGGTTTGTGGCAAGCTTTCTGGTGTCAGTGGCCCTGTTTGGTTGGGCATTTACCCATGAAGTGGGTGGCTAACTTCGGGTGCTTGATTTGGAAATTATGTTCTTTCTTTTTTCCTCTATGTTACACATTAAATATATTAAAGTTCCTTTCTGTTGAAGGTCTTATGCACTAGAAAATGCTTTGCCTTGATGCAGTGGATGGTAGTTTTCAGAGCAGGCAAATTTGGGGGTTCTGAGGTACACTTCACCCTGGCCTGGCACCCTGGCACTTCTTTGTTCCAGGAATTGGGGATATCTTTTTTATTTTTAAGATTTTATTTATTTGTTCATACAGAATTGGGGTACAAGCCAGAAGTACAGGGGCAGTGGGTCAGAAGAGGTTTACTGCGCTATATCGGTCACCTCCAGGCCGGGGATCGAACTCTCACTGGAGCCGCTGCAGCCAGCTTGCAGTACTGTGTCCTAACCTGTTGGGCCACCAGGAAGGGGCCATTGGGGATATCTTAATGAATATATCATATCCTTTTTTTTTTTAAAGATTTATTTGTTTATGCATACAAGAACTGGGGTACAGGCCAGAGGTGTGTGTGGGTGGGGTGAGAGGATTCACCAGAGACAGAGTGGAGAGCAGAACAGGCAGGCTGAAGAACCACTGCTGAGGGGAACAGCGGGAGAACAGGAGAGATCTGCTGCACCATGTGGGTCAACCCCCTGGCTGGGGATTGAACTCACGCTGCAGTGGTGCAGATAATCATAGTGCTGTGCTTTAACCAGTTGTGCCACCATGGAAGGCCCCCTGTCCTGCCTTGATGGAACTCAGTCTTTTCCTAAATAAGTGCTATGTGCCTTTATGTTACAAAGAACCAGAAAACAAAATATTTGATTTGTTTTCCAACTTCTGAATTCTTGCTTATTTAAGATTGCGGGGGTTTGATATTTCAAGGGTATTCACTTTTATTTATATCTTTATGTACCCTTTTAAGTTAATAATTAGAAAAGCCAGAAAGGGCAGAAAACAGGCAGCATTCACATACATTTGATTGACTTAAAGACAAGTAGACAAGTCAATAAAGCTTTTTTAGTTCATCTAACTTGTCCAGTTCAATATAAAGTGAATCAGGGAATAACAATTTGCTTTTCAAAACTCAGGTAGCTGAGATGGATTTCTCACCATTTAGAATTTTGCCACATTTCTGCCTCTGGTGCCATCACATCCAATCAAACAGATTCCAACTTTTTTTGGGGGGGGGGAAGAAAGGAAAAGAAATTGAGTGTTCCACAATGTAGGTTATGTGATAAACTGAAAGTGAGAATTTATGAACGAGGCATCAGGGGCCAGGAGGGAGGAGGTAGGACCTGAAGCACATGGGCACAAGACACCACAGTACTCCCACAGGAGGCTGAAAACATAGGGGCTGAGCCCCTATAAGCTGTCTGTGATTCTGAAGTGATCTCTTCATTCAAGTGCAAATATTTCAAAGAGGGATGAAAAGCTGAAAACAATGCAATATAAGCTCCATTTCAGATACAACTATATCCACCTTGTGATCTTAAACAAAAACTTCTGCTAAGTGCTACAAAAGCAAAAGCTTAATAATGGCAGAAAGCCCTAGAACAAAATTTATACTTGTCCATTTGTTCCATTAATGTTGTAATTTACTCTCTTTCCTTCCTGGGCTAAGTCTAGTGGACTTGTTGGCTGTGTGGGATTAATTTCCCCAAAAGGGTTAGATAGGTTTTACCCAATATGTCTGGAGCAGACATTTCTCCTGTGTCACCCTGGTAGGGTAAAATAAGGTCAACTGGGGCCCTGCGGGCCTTGAGAAGTTTGTTACCATTACTTAAAGGATACACGTTTCTTTAACTTTTTATTTTCTTACATCATTGTTCATTTTTGTACATATTTGATTCCTTCCCTCAGGTGTAGTCTCTATAAATCTCCCACCACATCAGCTTGTGAACAGTCACAAAAAGTTCCTTGTGCTCCTCCCTTCCCTGTTTTGACCTTCTCCCATCCTTCTGTATGTCTCAGATCTACAGTTTGCCTGTAAGTTTTGTCTTTTTTCTGTCTCTGTTTGATTTCCTTATATTCCTCTAATAAGCAAAACTACCCTATATTTTTCTTTTTTCTCCTGACTTATTTCACTTAGCATAATCTCTTCCAGCTTCATGGGACAAAGATTATTTTGAGTTAAGAACCATGAACATTCTAGAGGCTAAGGAGATGCTCTTGTTCTCATCTCAGTCCTTTGCCCTTACTTAATTGAAGATCATTACTCCCTAAGCTTTTACACT